GATTAGAGAGAATGGGGGAAAGCACTATTCAAAGAGGAAATGATTAGGAATATTCCAGAATCAAAGAAATACATTATTCTAAAATTCTTGGGTCAAAGAAGAAATAATAATGGAAATTTAGAAATACTTTGATCAGAATGATAATAAAGATACCTTATATCAAAACCTCTGGGATACAGCAAAACTGATGCTTTGAGGAAAATTTTTACCTTAAAATACTTACGTCAGAAAAGAAGCAAGACTGAAAATTGATGAGCTAAGTGTAAATTACAAAGTAAGAAAAAGAGTCAGACAGTAAACTCAAGGAAAATAGAAGGAACAGTAAACTCAAAGAAAGTAACAAAGGTAAGACAACTGTTAATGAAGGATAAAACAAAAAATAACTGAGAAGCTAACCAAAGGAAAAGTGGGTTCCTTGACCACACACTCGGTGGAGGCTGGGGAGCCGAGCCAGAGTCAGGGCCAGTACAGTGGTAACCGTTGGACTGACCATTGCTGCCGTACGACTTGCAGACCATTATGTCTGGCAAGCCATGAAACATATGGAGCCTCAAGTAAAACTAGTTTTTCAAACTCTGCCCAAATCTGCCTCTAGTGGTGGCTATGATAGAGATGTGTTTGAACCCAAAATGACAAAATGAGAAGCAGCATTAATACTAGGCGTAAGCTAGTTACGCCTGGGTGACCAGTCAGGTAAGGGTCTGCCTTCGGCTCAGGTCATGATCCCAGGGTCCTGGAATCGAGTCCCACATCGGGCTCCTTGCTCAGTGGGGAACCTGCTTCTCCTTCTGCCTCTGCCTGCCACTCTGCCTACTTGTGATTTCTCTCTTTATCTCTCTCTCTGTCAAATAAATAAATAAAATCTTTAAAAAAAATAAAAAAATACTAGGCGTAAGTCCTACTGCCAATAAAGGAAAAATAGGAGATGTTCACCGATAAATTATGCTTTTAAATCACCCAGACAAGGGAGGATCGCCTTATATAGCAACCCAAATCAATGAAGCTAAAGATTTACAAGAAGGTCAAGCTAAAAATTGAAGTAAGTGTGTGATGAATTTTAAGTTCTTCTTAGTTTAGGTATATGAGTGCCAGCTTTTTATAATAGACTGCCTCAAAGCTACAAATTTTAAAGATGATTTAACACAGGCTAAAACAATGCTTTGGTATAAGTTTCTTCTTTGAATTTGAGTATTTTATTTTTTTTAGAACATCGTTCTCTTTTTTTTTTTTTAAAGATTTTATTTATTTGACAGAGACACAGCGAGAAAGGGAACACAAGCGGGGGAGTGGGAGAAGGAGAAGCGTGTTTCCCGCGGAGCAGGGAGCCCGATGCGGGGCTCGATCTCAGGACCCCGGGATCACGATCCGGAGCCGAAGGCGGACGCTTAACGACTGAGCCACCCAGGTGCCCCTCGAACTTAAGTATTTTAAATCAGCTTATAGAATATTTGGAGATTTAACACTCAGAAATTGTGGATAAATATATACGATTTGAATAGAAATATTGTTCATTATTCTTTTAGCAGATAATTTGTTACATACTTCAAGGCAAAATGAATGCAACAGTGGCTGGCTTTCAAGGAGCCCCCGATCTAATGGGATACTGATAAACTCATAATTAAAATATAATGTGATAAATATTTTTTAAAGTTGGTTCTTTGAAAAGAATAACAAAATAGACAAGTCTCTGGTAAAACCAATTAAAAAAAAGAGAAATTCAGAAATAAATAATATAATGAATAAAAGGTTGCTACAGCTACAGTAGATATCATAATGATAGCCAGAAATATATCAACTACTTTATGCCAGTAAATTTGAAAACTTAGATAAAAATTCTAGGAAAATATAACTTTCTAAAACTAATGAAAGAATAAATAAAATTTCTGGACAATCTTATAAATCTTAAATGAACTGAAACAGTAATTTAAAATCTTCCCACTTAGAAAAGAAAGTAGGGAGGGGGACGTAAAATTCTGTAGACATGTCCTAGCAAACATTCAAAGAAGTGGTCTTTCAATTGTATATAAAATCAATAAGGGGATATTCCGTCTTTTTATATACTCCTTTATTTATTATTCTTTGAAGGTAGTATAACTTTAATATCCAAACCAGACTTGGACATCCAATAACGAAAAACTAAAGGTCCATTTTCTTCATGCATTAGTATCTAGAAATCCTAAATGAAACAGTAGCAAACAAATTCTAACAGTATATAAAAAAGATAATACACCCATGAGCCAGTCAGGTTTATCCAAGAATGCAAGGTAGTTTAATATTGGATGATGAGCACCGGGTGATGTATGGAAGTGTTGAATCACTATATTGTATACCTGAAACTAATATGACACTGTATGTTAAGCAACTGATATTAAAATAAAAACTTAAAAAAAAAGAAAATAGCTAAATGTTATTTACTCATGAACAGCTTAAAGAATAAAAAAAAAAAAACACTCTAATAGATCATTAAAATGCATTCAGTAAAATTCAACAGGCATTCATAATTTTTTTAAAAACCCACTGTAAAAGGAAGTAGAAAAAAATTAGCTTGACATAGAACATCTACATAAAACATACAATATACATCATCCTAAAAAAAGAAATGTAGAACAAAGAAAGGATATGCACTATTTCCACTTCTATTCATTATTGCACTAGAGGTTCTAGCTTGTGCAATAAAATAAGAAGAAAAGAAAGAAAGGCTTAATAAAAGAAAAAAGCTATCATCATTTGCAGACAGTGTGATTGTTCATATAGAAAATCCAAAAGAATCTGTAAATAAATTAACAAATCAATTAAAAAATCAAAGTTGCTTATATAAAATCAAAATATAAAAGTCAATTTTATTTTATACACCAGTAACAAACAATAAAATCACAATACAAAATACGTGATTTATAAAAGAACCTAGCAATAAATCTAACAAAAGACATAAGACCTATATACAATTATAATTATGATACAGATATCAATGTATTGAAAGAAGATCTAAATAAAGGAGAGGTATTTCAAGCTAATGAATATGAAGGCCTTAGAAAGATGTTAATTTTCCCCAAATTGATCTCTAGATTCAATGTAACTCCAGCAAAACTCTCAACAGGGAATCTTCTGCCTCTGATGATAGTAGACTAGTTAATTCAGATGAAGCTTCCTACAGAAGACATCTTTAAAAATCTGGCATATATGTATACTTTTTAAAGATTTATTTATTTATTTATTTGAGAGAGAGAGAGAGGGAGCAGGGGAAGAGGCAGATGGAGAGGGAAGGAGAGAATCTCAAGCAGACTCCCCACTGGGCGTGGAGCCCAACATGAGGCTCAATGCCATGACCCTGAGATCATGACGTGAGCCGAAACCAAGAAGCAGATGCTCAACCAACTGAGCCACCCCGGTGCCCCTGGTATATATATATTTTTAAATCTTCTTAAAATCATAAAAGAGCTTACTAGATCAAGATCAGCATAGCACTAGAGATGCTTTTACTCTGGGGCTATTTAGTGATCTTGACTAGGCAACCTAGAAGATGAGATGCAATTTTTGAGTCTTTGCAGAGTTAGGCATACAAAAATTGGAGTCCAACACTGCCCAGGGGGAATCCTGGCAAGCTACCACCCTCTTTGGGGCAGGAATGAGGATAAAATATAAATGAACCAACCTCCACATGGCCTGCAGCCCAGTTTCAAGCCATCAGGATGGCTCAGATAATCTCAAGCCTGAAATTGTATGAAGATGATCTTGGGTTGCTGGTGTTACCAGGAACTGGCAAGCAGTGGGAAAAAAACAAGTCTTCTATAGAGGAAGATAATTTCACCCTTGGCCTCAAATTGTTCCTACAAATAATTTTTCTAATACAATGTCCAGTACACAATTAAAGTAAACCAAGAACTCTAGACAAAATAAGCAGACACCAGCAGAAATTACAACAGAAACAGACATGCAGGGTCTCCAGATAGTGGAATTCTCAAACACAGACTACAAAATAAGTATCTTTACTATGATCAAGAAGATAACCTCAAACGTAAAAAAACTTGGCAAGAAACTGAGAACTGTAAAAGGTGGCACAGCAGATTTGAAAAAGGATCAAACTAAAATTCTAGAATTAAAAAAATAAATAACTGGAAAAAAACAACCATATTGATGACTTTAATAGGAGTTAAGACATGGCTACAGAGAAAATTAGCAAACTGGATTATCAGTAAAAATGAATGACGTATGCACACATATACACATATAATCCAAAAGAAGAATGAAAAGAGAAAAACACAGAGAGAAGAGACGTAAAGAATACGATCAGAAGGTATAACATATATTTAACTGAAGTCCCTGAAAGGTGAGAAAGTGGAACCAGAAGCAATATGAGAAGAGATAATGACCTACATTTTTCCAAAAACAGATGAAGGACTTAAATCCAGTTTCAAGTATCTCAACAAATCCCAGGCAAGATAAATAAAAAGAAACCTATAGACAGGTACCATACAAGGGTTTCCAGCCTCCTACGCCCCTGGCTTGCCCGGGAAGGTTGCTTGGCCCCTTCTGGACCTCAGTTTTGTAAATACAAAATTACAAAATACAACCTACTTCATAAGGATGGTAAAATGACTAAATGAAATAATATCTGGAAAGTGCTTAGCAAGTCACCTGACACATACTTTCTGTAACCGGCTATAAATATTGTCTACTGCTATTTATCATTAACACTTGCCACACCGGCAGAAATGCCCCGTTTACCTGGCAGTCAGATTGAGAAGGCAAGTCGCCTCTGACTACCACCACACCTTTCTTATACCCCAGAGGTGGTGGTGCAGATATCCAGAAAGGGACGTTCCTCATCCCGGGCTCCCACACAGGCACCCAGCATGGGACATGGGGCAAGGACCCTCAGGTCCCACCCCTACCCGCCCTGGCCCCGCCCACCCCCACGTGGCCACACCCACTCCCAAGGGCCGGCAGAGCTGTTGCCTAGCAGTGTGTGTTGACGCTTTAGCGGGTGCTAGCGGCCAGCCATGCCGAAGGACGCGGTGGTCATCGTTCGCTACGGGCCGTACAGTGCAGTCGGCCTGTCTGTGGAGTACCGCACCTTCCGCCTGGAGGGCCTGCAAGGTGGGCAGCCGAGCGGCGGAGGCCACCCAACTCCATGTGCCCAGGTGCACCCCAGCCTCTGAACACGGGTGCAGACTGTGCCCTCTGCCTCTACCTCCTTCCTTCCTCAGACTCTGACCTAGTCCATAACCTGCAGAAAGTCTTCCCACTGGGGACCAGGCAGTTTACACAAGTTATTTGGATAGAAGGGATTACATACTCTGCTCTGGGCATTGAGAAACTGAAGATCAAGAACATTAAGTGACTTTTCCAAGGTCATATGGCCGGAAAATGGTGAAGAGTCTATACCTTCAGCATTCAATCATGCAACAAACCTTTCCTGAGCACCTAATGTATGTTGGACACTCTTCCAGGTACTGGAGACACACTGGGGAACAAAGATAGGTGGCCTTCAAGTGACCTTCTCATTGTTGACTACTAGTTGACGGTTGTGCCTGGGCCTCCAACAGAGGAATATAAGCGTAGTGGGACCCGCCACTGGCCATAATTGGAGGGGAGAAGGGGAGATCTGGAAAGGTTTATTCACTAGAATTTTACTTGAGTTGAGCTTTAAAGAGCAAGGAGAAAATAACCGGGTAAAGAGAAGAAAAAGCATGCCAGACAGAGGGACCGAAATTTGGAGGACCATGTTCCTTTTCGGCCATCTTAAACTCCATGTGTTTTCGGCTACATAGATGGAGGTACTGAGTTAGCTCTGCAGTTCTGGAGTTCAGAGAAAAAGTCTGAGCTAGAGATAGAAAGGTCTGAGTCATGGACTTGGGGACAACATACAGAAAGAGAAGAGAGCCCAGGACTGTCTTCAGTGCCTTAAAATGCTCTAATGTCCCAACGAAACCTTCTCGCCACTTTCTCTCTCAGGCTTTATGAGGTTCGTTGTATGTCTCAACAGTCTTTTGCCCAGACAGCTATGCATTTTTCATTTGCCCGCGTGCTGCCCACGGCTTTTCCACCCTGTGTGCGTTCTGCATTAGGTGAAACAGAGGCAAGGGCCTTGTGCCAGTCCTTGAGGTAGCCCCCAGACAGGGCAGCAGAGACAAAAACAGGAATTTGCAAACAAGGTGTGCTCTGCTCCCTCTAGACTCAGGAACCAGGGCCCACACGGGGGACAGGGGCTGCCGTCTTCAAGGCTGCCAGCAAACCAGGGAGGAGGTGGGGAAGGGCAAGTTAAGAGGTTACAAAGCTTTCTTACCATTTTCAAGTTGCCTTTGTCTTGACTCGGCATTTACTCTTTTGCCAACTTTGACTATTTTCCAGAGTTCTGACAAAGTGGGTTCTCACAGCTTCTGGTGGTTTTTTTAACTTCTCTGTGGAGAAACGGGAGTTTGGAGTGCCTACTCTGCCATTTTGCTGCTGTCTGCAGACCCTTTTTAATTATGTCTCTTGCTGCTGCCATAATCTTCATGACTGTATAGAGTTCAACTAGATCATTTCCATACCAAGAGTTATATTAAAGGAGAATGCATAAATAAGCATTTGTTATAATGCACAATTTACAAGTATTGAGCCGGGGGGAGGAGGACTTCCCATATAGTTTGCACACAAATCCCATTGACTCAACTGATCACCTCTGGTCACTTGTCTCCTACTTGCTTTCTTGGCACTGATGGCAGAGCAGAGATTAAGCCCAAGGACTCTGAAGTCCAACCAATCTCCTTTTGAATTCATCTCTACCATTTAGTAACTGTGTGGCCAAAGTCAAGATCAAGTTATTTTACCTTTCTGAGCCTCAGTTTACCTACTGGTAAAATGGGAGCAGATTCCTACCTCACTGATGTGAGATTCCAATGGGAAAATGTACACAGTCATGAATATTGCACATAGTAAGTGCTCAACAAGCATTAGTCTTACTACTCCAGGGCAGGGGCATTACTAGGAAGGGGAGGAGGGAGCTTCGTGGGGCATGCTGGGGAGCAGCAAGCAGCTGGGTCAGGCTGGAGGATGTTATGCAATGAGAGAGTCAGGCCTGTTTTACCCTTGACAACAGGGAGCCAGCAACATTTCTTGAGCTAAAGAACGATGAGATTAAGGATGTGCCTTAAGAGGCCAATTCTGCAAGAAGAGATTTGGGGAGGGGAAGTGAGAGAAAACAAATTATTAAGAAATATTAAGAGATTAGAAATGAAATTCTGAAGTTCAGGGGAAAGACAAAACTACCTGACTACTAAAGACTACTAGAGTCAGAAGTAGTTTTGACTTTTTTTTTTTAAGATTTTATTTATTTATTTATTCGACAGAGAGTGAGAGAGTACAAACAGGGGGAGTGGGAGAGGGAGAAGTGGCTCCCCGCTCAGAGCCCGACTCAGGGCTCGATGCCAGGACCCCAGGATCACAATCCAAGCCGAAGGCAGACGCTCAACCAACCGAGCCACCCAAGCTCCCCAGTAGTTGTGACTTTAAATAACATCTGTCTGCTAATAACTACCAAACTTATCTCTCCAGTCAGGACCTCTCATTGTCACTGGGATGGTTGGTAGGCATCTCAGGCTAATATGTCCAAAGTCTCTAAACTGACCTCTTAATACCCAGCCCCCTCCAACCCCTCCTGCATTCTCCTCATCTCAGTGCACACAGCTCCAGTCTTTCAGTTACTCAGGCCAAAAAGCTCGCAGGCATCTTTCTTTCTTTTTTTATTTTTTATTTAAATTCAATTTAGTTACCATATAGTGTATTATTAGTTTCAGAGGTAGAATTTAGTGATTCATCAGTTGCATATAACATCCAGTGCTCAGTACATCACGTGCCCTCCTTAATGCCCATCACCCAGTTACCCCATCCCCCCCACCTCCCTTCCAGCGACCCTCAGTTTGTTTTCTAGAATTAAGAGTCTTATGGTTTGCCTTCCTGTCTGTTTTCATCATATTTTATTTTTTCTTCCCTTCCCCTATGTTCATCTGTTTTGTTTTTTAAATTCCACATATTAGTGGAATCATATGGTGTTTGTCTTTCCTGACTGACTTATTTCACTTAGCATAATCCTCTCTAGTTCCATCCAGGTTGTTGCAAATGGCCAGAGTTCATTCTTTTTGATGGCTGAGTAATATTCCATATTATTGTGGTGTATACATACACCACATCTTCTTTATCCATTCATCCATCAATGGACATCTGGGCTTTTTCTGGGTTTGGCTACTGTGGACATTGCTGCTATAACCATTGGGGTACATCTGCCCCTTCGGATCACTATGTTTGTATCCTTTGGATAAATACCTAGTAGTGCAGTTGCTGGGTCATAGGGTAGCTCTATTTTTAACTCTTTGAGGAACCTCCATACTGTTTTCCAGAGTGGTTGCACCAGCTTGCATTCCCAACAGTGTAGGAGGTTTCCCTTTTCTCCACATCCTTGCCAACATCTGTCATTTCCTGACTTGTTAATTCTAGCCATTCTGACTGGTGTGAGGTGGTATCTCATTGAGGTTTTGATTTGGATTTCCCTGATGCCGAGTGATGTTGAGCACTTTATCACGTGTCTGTTGGCCATGTGGATGTCGTCTTTGCAGAAATGTCTGTTCGTGTTACAGGCATCTTTCTGTCCTCTCTTTGCCTCACACTCATCACAACCACCATCATCTCCTGCCTGGACCAGTGCCCTGGCCCCTCCCCTGAACTCCCTGTGGCCACCCTCATCCGCTGCAGTCCGTCCTCAGCACCAAAGCCAGGTGATGCCTTTAAACTTGAGCCAGAGCACAGCCTGTGCCTCCAAGAACATCCTGGGGGCTCCCAGCTCCTTCAAGGGAGAAGCCAAAGGCTAACAGTGGCCTTCCAGGCTCCTAGTGTCCTCCCTGACCTCATTTCCCCCACCACTCCCCATCCCTTCCCCTCACTCACTCCACTGCAGCCACACTGGCCTCCTCACTGGCCTTTGAACACCCCTGGTGCACTTTGGCCTTGGGGCTTGGCTGTTGCTCCACCTGGAATGCTCTTTCTCCAGATCCCTGCCTGGTCCTCACTCTTCGCTCTCTCATGGCCCCTGGGTGTTTCTCAAAAGTCACCTTCATCCACAGGTGCATCTTGAGCTTCCCCATCGAAAATGTCAACACCTCCCTCTGCCCCTCTTCCCTACCTCCATTCCTTCCTTTTTTTTTTTTTTTTTAAGATTTTATTTATTTATTTGACAGAGAGAGAGAGGGTGTTTTTTTTTTTTTTTTTTGGGAAAAGGAGTGAGAGAGGCAGAAGCAGACTCCCCGCGGAGCAGGGAGCCCGATGCGGGGCTCAAGCCCAGGACCCTGGGATCATGACCTGAGCCGAAACCAAGAGTCAGACACTCAACTGAATGAGCCATCGAGGTGTCCCTGTGCTAGGTACATCTAAAGGGTCAATAAACATGAGTTAAAATAAACCTGAATGGAGCTGAACACTGGATCCACAGGAGGTGAGACTTGGGGAGAACGCAAGGAAAGGGGTGAACAGCAGTGGCCCCTCTGAGGGGCGCAGAGATAGGAAAGAACCCAGAGCAAAGGAGGCCAGTGAGATGAGGATTTCAAGAAGAAAATGGCCAAATGGGCACCAAACTGTTAAGTAGGAGTCATTTCTAGAAAAAGATGAATTCATGGTTGATGAACGACACAGAAAAAAGTGTTCTCAAAGACTTGCAATGAGACGGCAAGATGGCACAGAAACTTCAGAGGGCAACTTGACTGTGTCTTAAAATTTAACCATGTATTGTAGAACCCAGCTACTCCATTGCTCAGTCTCTTTCATACGTATATATATATATATATACTCACACACATACAGAGGCATGCCCAAGGAATGTTTTCTATATATATATATATATAAGTGAAAAATTGAGAACAACCAGAGAAAGGACTGGCTTAAATAAATTGTAGTCCATCGATCCCATGAAATGCAGTGCAGCAGATCCATGTATATTGATAGGGCGGGATCACCACAACGCAGCGGTGAGGGAATAAGTTGTGTTCCTGAATTCCACCTACACTGTGATTCCATTTCCCTTGAAAATGACAAAGAGAAGGGGAGAGGGATGGATATGGTGATTTAACAGTTTTTGTCCTATAATTTCAAGGTTTTTAAAAAATCGTGGGCCTGCATTACATTTATAATCTGATAAAATTTTAGAGTTCAAAATAGTTTGGGTTTTTTTTTTTTTTAACCAGCAAAAGTATTTTCTTTTCTTTCTTTCTTTATCTATTTTTTTTTTTTTTTTTTTATTTTTGAGAGAGAGAGAGGGAGAGAGAGTGAGCACGAAGGGAGGGGGGAGCAGCAGAGGCAGAAGCAGGCTTCCCGCCGAGCAGGGAGCCCAATGCGGAACTTGATCCCAAGACCCCGAGATCGTGACCTGAGCTGAAGGCAGACGCTTAATAGATGGAGCCACCCAGGCACCCCAAAAAGTATTTTAAAGAAGAAAGGAGGTAAGTCCGAGTGTCGATCTGCTAAGAGGGGCAGGGAGAACTGAGTGAGCCACTGAGTGTGCTAATTGTTCCCCACCTCTGAGAGCACAGGGTCAAGAGAAGGTGGGCTGAAGCCTCCATCAGCAGGAGGTGGAAAAGCAGGGAGAGATGAGGAAGCCAAGAGCATAAGCAGCTCTTCCCACAGCAGGGGAGGGGAAGGAGTATCTTGAGAAGATCAAGGGGAGAATTTTTATGGCTGAAGGAGAAGAGCATTGCAAGCTACCAGCAGGTGGTTGATTTTTAAAGTTAGTTTGTGTAACCCTGAATGATAATTCATATAATGTCAGCAGCCAGCATTTCCTGAGGGCTGCTGACAAATGCCAGGGTGCTAACAAAAGCAAGGATCTGCTCCTCTCCCTGTCCCCCACTCCCTCCACCACTTTAGAGTCAATCACACCAAGCACAGAGTGGTGTATTTGCACGTCCTCCTCTGTAAAATCTGCATCTCAGTTCTGTACGTCTCTTTGAAAATCATAGCCCTTTAGCATGTCCCGAAGCCCTGCTGGCTTTGGAAATATGCCTGATCTTTCCTGAACTTACCGTGCCTTAAGGAATCTGAACATTTTTGTTCATTCCTTATTACCCACAAATTATAATAGTTCAGCAAAAATGTCTCTACTGTGGCCTCAATATTGATGAAATTAAACTATCTAATGCTTAACAGCAAGTCCGAAGTAATTCCCTGGCCATCGTTGCTCCTTGTCTGCTGTCCCGAATGAAGTATGCCAAATGACCTGCTAAAAGGAACGAAAAGGAATTGAAACCGACCCAGAAAGATAGGATCCGCCCTTATTTAGCTAAGATGCTCTCTGTGCCATTCTCCCGTCCCTAGCTCTGCATTAGCTGCACACATTAATTGTCATAAGCTTTGCAACTGGGCCGAGCAGAGGAGGGGGAGATGCCTGCCTGTCTGTTTGCTGTGACTTCCGAGCTAGCTGTGTTTAAATCACTCCCAGATGGTGCCCGCGCTGAGAAGAGGGAGGCTTTTCCGTGTCCCTTCATTTTACCCAGATCCCCCTTGAAGAATGAGGTGCCACTTCAAAGAGGCAGGCATTCTGTGGGTGGCCTTACGGCTTCTGGTTGATTTATGCCGGAGTTTAGCCACTGCCTTTGGAAAGACTTTGTTGCATGGAGTCTATTTATCTGACCTTTCTTTGACTAGACAACCCCATAGCAGCTCGTAGGAAAAAATGGGGCCTCCATGTAGAGAGGTGGCATTTGGATGAGCCGCAGGAATTCTGGTGCTTCTCCAAGTTTGATCCCTTAAGCCCACGCTGACCACCCTGTAGCCGGGCTCGTCACAGCCTGGATGGATGAGAAGGGGACAGGCGTCCTGAGGATGAATATAGGATGTGGACTCTGAAGTGGCTCATTGCTTTCATAAGAATCAGACTTAGTTCGCTCAGTGTCCAAAAGAGTCATTGGAGGTACCCAGCATCATTACATTGAGCTTGTTTATTTAACAAGCTGTTTTAACCCCGGGCACTGGGTTTGGGGGTGGGGTGGTTTATGGTCAGTGAGGGAGACATGTGCCCTCAAAGGCCCCAAGAGCCCATGCTTTGCAAACCATATAGAAGGTGAAGTGAAGGCTGATATATTCTCTTAAGAGGATTTCTTCCTGTCGGGCTTCGTTGGCTCAGGTATGAGGCAGACTCTCATTATTTGGCACCACCGACTTCCATAGGGTAGGTTATTTGGTGCATCAAGTCCTGTTTCTTAGATACACTTGGCCATGAAGGAGGACTGCTGTTCTCATAAAGCAAACCCCAAACCCAGGTGGTCCATGAGACTCAGTCAGACAGGGCCCTGCCCTGTGCAAAAGGAAAGCGCCGTGGCAGGCTGCGCAGTGCACAGCTTCTCAGGGGATCCTCCTGCAGAGCCCCTCCTCACTTACACTGCAGTCACAGTGGGCCACACAGAACCCATGCCTCCTTCTCTCCAGAACCCCCAGGCCTTACAGAGTGGATGTTGTGTGTGAGTAGGAGAGAGGCAAGACCTTGTCTCCAGAGATGGGGTGGGAATGGAGAAGCTGGTTTGTTCTTGATTTCTTCCTATCAAATTGAAATCCATTTCCCAGGAGCATCTTCCGACAAAGCAAAGCCAAGGTCCTGGAGGCCAAATTGCCTCCCACCCACTCACCTGCAGCTTTTCCCTCTCGGGTGACACGTCCCCACTCCTGAGGGGCTGCTGCTGGGAGAGTGTCTGATCCCCAGATCCACTGGCCATCCCAAACTGCATGGACCGCTTCATTTAAACGAGTCATTGGTCCAAGCTGAGTGCCTTCCTCCAAAGATGTTTAAGACAGGACACTTAAACAGGATACAGTAACATAAATATGCCAGAGAAGAAGAGCCGGGTGTTCCGTAGAGAGAGGCGTTAGCTGATGCAGGGTCAATTAGGGCCACCACTGGGTGCCTGAGGAGCACTATCTTGTTAATGGAGATCCTCACTGAGTTACTCTCTGAAGTTCCTTTCCAGAAGTGAAATTAAAATCACGCAATTAAAATGTTCACAGTTGGGGCTGGATGTTCTTGAACTGATTGAAAGATAAAGAAGTGGACACGCCAACATTTTAAAACAGCAATTGTCTCTGTAATTAAATGCAATTAACCGACATAACTGTCTGCTTTTCTGCACATAAGACTGATTGAAATTCTAAGACTTTAAAAAAACAAAACAAAACATGACCTTCCTCTGATTCATCTTCCCATCTTAACCAAAATTCCCACCAATGTATGAAGACCATCAAAGACGGTGGTTTAGCACACTGACTCTACCACCAATGTTATGCAGTGGACATATTAAGAAAACTGAGGAGAGACGTGTTAGAGAAAACAGAACCCCAAGATGGTCAATGCACATCATTTCACCTAAATGCATATATTTTTGGATTTCCACAATAGAGGATAGATCTAAAACTTTTCCATGGCTGATCTCTAGGGAAGTGATAACCAAAAAGCAGCTTCTAAAGTTTAGCGCATTAGCTTTAAAAAAAAAAAAGGCATTTTGTTTCTTATTATTATAGAAAATCTGGAAAATGCTGAAAGAATAAAGAGAAAGAGGTTTCACATACTATTACCACAGAGATATACCCACTGAGTATTTCTTTTTCTTTTCCTATTACATATACATATTTTAATTAGTATTAGAGATATATTTTCATAGATACTATATATATGTATATATATATATATACACACCCTGATTGCTTGCTTATGTTACAAATATTTTTCTTGTTATTTAAAAAATTCATAAACATCTTTTGAAGTGTTTGAATAAAACCTCATCGTATGGACCTACCATCATTTGCTTGACCATCCCCTTGTGACTGGGACAGTAGGCTATTCAAAGTATTTTCTATTGTAGTACTGCAGAAAGGAACAGCTTGTTACAAAAGTCTGCCTGAATTTCTTATTTTTCCTGAGGAGACTTTCTTACAAGTGCAATTTCCCGGGCCAGAGTTTAGTTCATTTTGTAATTCTACATTTTCTTGAGGCTTTTGAGGCTTTCAGCCTGTACTGCCAAATTACCTCCAGAAAGGTGACCAATTTATTTTTCCACCCACGGGATAAGAAGTCACCTGATTCCCCACATCCCTTCCAACATTGAGCATCATCTCTATAAGAAAAGTTCAAAAACTCTTCCTAGAGACATCTCATATTTTTCACACATCCTATGGGTCTGAGGCAAATTGTAACCAAAACCTGAATTGCTCAGGTCCCTGGCTGCACCTGCCAGCAAAGGTGAGGCACATCTGGGCCAGCACCAGGTAGGTACCCACCAGCGCAGCTGAGTTAGGCCAGGAGCAACTGGAGAACAAGTCAGCTGCCACCATCCATGAAGACATCTGCATATCAGGTTAATCTAGAGCCTGTCCCCATGTCACTCACATCCCTCTCCATCTTTTGCAGCTGTGTTGACCAGAGATGGACACAAGGTCATCCTAGAGAAGATAGAAGACTGGAATGTGGTAGAACTCATGGTGAACGAAGAAATCGTCTTCCACTGTAACATCAAAGACTTGGAGTTTGGTAAGTCCTTCAGCACTGCTCCCAACCAGCACTTTGCCTTCTGGGAAGCATGCTCGATTTCAAGTGGAAGTGGCCAGTGGGCTATGCCCAGATTCAAGTTGGGTTTTTTTCTGTGTCTTAAATTCTTACTCAAAACCCTGTTCTCTGTGTTACATGCATGAGCACATCCTAAATCACACAGAGTTAAGTGCTTAATGCTCTGGAGTTCTTCCCAGGACACTGGAAACAAAAGAGGGACAGAAAGAAAGATGAAGTTTTAGCCCTAGATGCAGGCTGGCATCACGCCTCCCACACTCTGCTCAGAAATAAAAGCTTGCTTGTGCAATCCACTCATACTCTGTTAAAGGCTAGTTAACAATTGACGTGCCTGTGTACTTTGAGACTTGACCTCTAGTGGAAGCCGTGTCTTCTATGACATGACATTGTATAGAAAACTGGCCAAAAGAAAATCATACCTATTTCCCTAGGAGGTGATGGTAAACTAGACCCGCTGTGTGAAGAGGCCAGGATAGCCGTCCTAAATGCCTACTGATCTCCTCGTCCGAACAGGCATCTGAAGTCAACGGAACAGCCACTGCTTCCGGCCCTTCTATGCAGCAAACAAAAGCAGCTCTAGGTTTTGAAGGCTCTAGCAATCCAGGTAACGCCAGCCTGTCCTTCAGCCTGCCCGGCACACTGTCTCTCACCTGGCTGCACGGAAGCAGGGCCCACACAAATAATAAACATCATTTGCAGCATCTTTCAATCTCAACCCACAGGGAGAGCCCTCCAATATCAATCAGGTACACATTGAGCTGAAGGAAATAATAAAATGCAATCTAATAACAAAGCACCATCCCGTCCTAATAACACAGAGTTTGCCAGAAGCATCTGAGAGTCCATTCTATAGTAAGTAAAGAGCTAGAATTAAAGATTGGGTGGAAAGGGGAGCAGGGAGGGAGAATAGGGGGCCCTTGAAAATCTGAACCAAAAGTTAATGTCGGTATTTGGAAACCCGGCCATCTCTACAGGTTGGTTTCTTGCTCCCAGTGCAATCATATTTTAAATGTTCATATACACGTACCTAAAGCCAAATCATTTATTATTCTTTAGAACAAGAAAATTATCTGCCTTGTTTTGCATTCACCAGTCCAACGAGCCACTCTGAGGAGGGCCCAGAAGAACGCAGGGCAGAAGATGCGGCTCCTTATCCGTCTGGGGGAAAACACAGCCTTGCGGAGTTAAGGGAGGATTTCAGTTATGGTCAGTGTAAAAATCAGCCATGTCAACATGATGTTCTTTGTACTTGCAGGTCCGAGACACCCGACGGTAGCACACGTTCTTCTATAGAGAAATGCAGATATTGATCTGATGACGTTCAGTGTGAGGTCATGGTAAAAAGGCATCACACCTTGGCAGAGAAATAGGAGAAAGAGGGAAGACTCTGGGCACCCTGGTGAAAGCGCGGAGCTTTCAGGGCTCGGAGCACACCCCCCCCCCAGGGAGGCAGCCACCCTGCTCCCTGTGGTTTCCCTGTACCTGGGGAGCCACCCTTTCCATCTCTCCTGGTGGCCTCAAGCCCCCTGCACCCCAGAACTTCCAAGGCCATCTGGGAGGCGATGAAACCACTGTACAAGTTCTCTCTCGTATATGAGGAGAAGGGGGATGTAATTTTCATTTTCAGCCCAAGCTTCACTTACCAGGTTTCATTCAGAGATTATCATCACTTAGGACTCTGGAAATATTTAATCATCCTCGCTGAGAACCTGAGGCTAAAAAACTTTCCTCCTGGTGTCGGGTGCCGGTTTTCACATGCCTTTAGTAACCCTCGATTTAGTCCCTCTTTCTCAAAGACCAGTTTAAGTTATTATAGAGGTAGCATTCTGCTTTCGTATGAACAATTTTACTCCAAGAGAAATACATTTTCATTACAGTAAAATGGAAAAATATAGGTGAGGATAAAGTACAAATCTGATAACATTTTGGTATATTTCAATTTGGTTTTCTTTGATTTATGTCTGATTATTCATTAGGAGATAGATAAACAGAGAAATTGATTTCACTCATTCAGGATCACATTGTATGTACCCAATTATGTATCTGATTTTTAATTTAACATTTTATGTTGATCCTCTTCCTGTGTGATTAAAACATTTGTCTAAGCATTCTTTTTTTTTAAAGATTTTATTTATTTATTTGTCAGAGAGAGAGAGCGCACAAGCAGGGGGAGCGGCAGGAGAGGGAGAAGCAGGCTCCCCGCTGAGCAAGGAGACCGATGTGGGGCTCGGTCCCAGGACCCTGGGGTCATGACCTGAGCCGAAGGCAGACGCTTAACCAACCGAGCCACCCAGGTGTCCCTTGTCTAAGCATTCTATCATGAATCAGGAAATTTCCTCCTCCTTGAACAATGATTCCTACTTTCACTGTCATAACTTTTTCTGCTAAGAAATAAAATTGCAAGTTTCCCATCTGCATTCAGTGCAGTAACTTCGGCTCCAAGGACTTTGCCCCCTCCTCGGGCTCTGCAGCCCCCGCGTTGAACAAAAGCTCCAGCAGGCAGCCGCCTTACCCTCCCGACACGCCCCATGCCAGCCTGTATTTGTGGCCTCAGAGCTGCAACCCCACCAACCTGCTCTCCTTCCCTCCATGACCAGAGCAGAAGGGCAGGTAAGGCAAGACTGCACATGACTAAGACAAACTCGAGTGCACAAAGCTTCTGAGAGATGCCTGTGGCCAGGATGCTGTGCTCCAGTTTCAATTAGAGTTAAATGAGGTATGAATCAGCATTACCAGAAAAAGTCACAGGGTTACCTCTGGGTGGTAGGCTTGCAGTGGGGGAGGGGGCGGCAGGGCTTTTGTTTCTTGCATATTGTAAATGTTTTCAGTGGTGGAATTTTTACTTTGTGTGAGTGTGTGTGTTGGGCTTGAGGGTGCTTTTCAAATAAACATTTAAAATAAAATCCAACCCCTGGGTATTAAGTCGGTTAAGCATCTGCCTTGGGCTCAGGTCATGATCTCAGGGGCCTGGGATCGAGCCCTGCATCAGGCTCCCTGCTCGGCAGGGAGTCTGCTCCTCTCTCTCCCTCTGCTGCTCCCCCCTGTTCCTTCTCACTCTCTCTCAAATAAATAAATTAATTAAAAATCTTTTTTAAAAACCAAGAATTTGACATAGAGGTCATCTGTCCATATAACCTAGCCATTCTCTGTCATTGATTAAGCAGAGCTTTGTCTTTGGAAATGTAATCAATTTTTTAGGCTAAAGAAATGTGCCCAAATCCTCCTTCATCTTCCTCTGTCTTATGTCTTCTTGAATATCTGTCTCCCTGCAAAGAAACAGGAAACATGGCTCGCTCCTGATTGAAGGCAAAAGCCCTCTGTGCTTCAACAGGCTAGACATTCAGGTGCCTTTTAATGCTTTTAAAATGCCACTTAATTAACTCATATTTTAAGTTTATTAAGATGCCAAATCAATTTCGTTGTGTGACACGAAAATGTGTAAAGAAAGTGTCTCTTTAGTAGAAGACGTCTTTACTGTCTTTTAATAAAATTAGAAACATAGTTCTAACTTATGAGCTATTTTAAGTGAAATTTGGAATCTCTAAGCCTGTTTCTTCTATTTTAAAATGTAAAAAGAATGAAGTTTTTAGGAGTCTCCCTGGGCTTGCTGCCTGGGGCCTCCCTGGCTATACCTGCTCTCTTGGTGGTTTCACCCTTAAAACCTTGACAAACAATATGTGACAAGTCCATAGCTAAGAGGACTGTGTGAAATATCAGTTCCCACGGGGCGCCTGGGTGGCTCAGTCGTTAAGCGTCTGCCTTCGGCTCAGGTCATGATCCCAGGGTCCTAGGATCGAGCTCCGCATCTGGCTCCCTGCTCTGCGGGAAGCCTGCTTCTCCCTCTCCCACTCCCCCTGCTTGTGTTCCCTCTCTGTGTCTCTCTCTGTCAAATAAATAAATAAATAAATATTTCTTTAAAAAAAAAAAAAATCAGTTCCCACGGTGAGCTGCCAGGACATTCGAGGAGTGGGTGTATGGACCGGGGCCCCAAAGGACTCTGCATTCCTTTGTTAGCAAAGGCTTCTCCCATGGACACGTATCCCAAAGTAATACTGGGATTTGATGCACAAATCCCCCTGCTCTTTGGGGGAGAAAACCTCAGGGGACATGTGTACACCCTGTGGGTGCCATGCTTCCAGAAGAAATACACAGGTGACCAAATCCAGACAAAAGACAAACAAACGCTGGCCCAGGTGGCTGCCATAAAGCAAAGACAAATGTTCTTCCCAGATAGTTTGAACATTTCGAGGGAAAGAGTCGATTGTGGTCATTTGGAAAGCAGTGTGACCAGGCGGCTCCAGTCCTGGCGGTAAGCTCATGTTCTGAAAGGAAGAGAGCCCTGAATTCTCCTTTGTGGGGGCCACAGGTCACGCCCCAGCCTGGAGGCCACAGTCGGGACAGCAAAGGCTGAGTGGCACTAAGCAGGTGAAAAGAAACAAGAGGGCTAACAGCAGAAGGATGACCTTGGGCACCGGCGGCGTGAGGGACGCTGTGGGGAGTAGGGGCTGGGATGGCCGCATGGGCCAAACTGCTGCCGTGGCGGGAGCCGGCAGGCCCGATGTATCGACGCTCTGAGTTTTCCTAGAAGAGTGAAAATCTAGATTTTTATTTGAAAGTTTTGGTTTTAAAGCATGGGCTCAATTTTTTGAAAAACACAGTGCCAACCAAAACACAAAAAGCAAAACTGAAACTACCACATCTGGCCCACCAACAGGATAATCATCTGTTCCTGGTTGCTTGAAACCCCTCCTGGTTACACCTTCAGTCTGGCTGTAATTATCCCCATAAGTGACGAGGTCACCCTTCCCATGAGGCCCACGGCGGGCCCTCCCATCCTAGTGAAACCACTTGACCCTACTATCTGATTACGCAAATGAAAAGCAAAGACTCTGTTTGCAGATCTCTGAAATGAAGACATTTGAGAAGCTGCGCGCCTAAAAAGCCTTATTGTTCTCTGTGATCAGGTACAAGGGGGCCCAGCTGTAGGCAGAGCCTCATCCCCGGATCAGTTTTCCTGATGGGAAATGCTCCTTCTCTAAGTGAGGTAGGTATTGGACTATAGGTGCCTGCATCATTATGGGCCTTTTCGAAAGTATGTGTTCCTGTTTGAGTGGCTGTTCAGAAGAGGTCAAGAGTGGAGACCCAGAAGCCTAAGAAGAATGGTAAGTCCCAACCTTTGCTCCGCACGGGAGTATCAAGTCCAGGCTGTATTACTTATGACCCTAGTATATAATATTTGGGACCAAAACCGCCTGACTCCTTAAAGGAATGCACTGATGTTACAGTGTCGGATGTTCTCCTATGCTCTGATTTAATGAGTCTGGGATGGGTCCCAGGAATCTGCATTTTAACATGTGAGTCTATTGATTCCAGTGCACATAAGCCAACTGCGTTCTGAGAAACATGGGACTCAGGTGTTAGGGAAAGACCACATCCCTACAGGGAGAGGTGGGGTCCCCTGTGAAGGGAATGGAATTGCCCTCCCTCGGTCATGCTGGGCAGGAATAGGAAGACAGGTGGGATGGAATGTTTCTTCCCTCTGGGCCTCCCAGATTCCAAAGAGACGAGGAGGGCTTGGAAATCCTCCTGGGGTGTGAGAGAAGCTGGTCTCTGGAGCACGGAGGCAGGTTGGGGGCTAGGCTGGGAAGCCACCTGTGGCTGGTACTCCGTGAAT